GCCCCGGCTCTTCTGCCCACAATGACCGCCCAATTCAACCAGGCGCTTCAAGCGGGGCCCCTAGTTCTCGTGTACCAGTGAGCTGGTTCTGATCCCCAAGCCAGGCAAGTCCCCGATTTGCCTTCTTCCACCAATGCAAAGACCCTAGCGACCATCCTTGCCGTCCGGTTGCAGCCCTACCTTCAATCCTACCTTCAGGATTAGCCACTGTGCCGAGGTACGCGCCCTTCTGGCGACACAAGGGACATCCCTGTATGAGCGACGACAAGGGGGCATTCGCCTTCCAGAGGCTGGAGGCATTATGCTATCGCTTGACATTACGGGCGCGTATGACGCGGTCAGAAGGGAGACACTACTGCTAGCCCTACAGGAGGCCTCGGTCCCAGAGGAGATCCAGGAAACGATCATGGCGATTCACAACCAGGCCCAAATAAAGATTTCCCACTGTGGTCAGGAGGACACCATACCGCTCAGAACTGGCCTTCGGCAGGGATGCGGGCTCTCGCCCGCCCTGTGGGCCTTGATCGCAGGATGGTTGCTTCGCGGATTGCAGGTTGCCCCTGAAGATATGGCGGCTGAGGTGAACACGTCCTATGCGGACGACCTCCTCTTCAAGTGGATTATCCGCTCTGGCAAAGCGCTGGAGGCTGCGTGTCGGCAAATCCGCGCGGTCTTGGAGCACTTAGCCGACCATGGCCTATACGGCGAAGACGGTGATCCTGGTGGAACTACGGGGTGCCAAGGCGCAACATGCACTTCGAAAGTACGTGGTCCCCACTAAAGGCGTCCGACACATGCGGTTCCAGGTCAAGGGCAAGGACGTGGATCTACGACTCGTAGACCAGCATGTCTACCTGGGAGCGATCATCTCCTACCGCAAACCGGAGCAGGCAACGGTACAGCATCGCGTGACGCTTGCCAAGGGCCAGTTCGCTCGCCTCAAACCGGTGTTGAAGTGTCAGGCGGGTCCCTGTGGGGCTACGTCTACGTATGAGGCTGTGGAAGGGCTGCATCCCGCATG